GCGACGGGCGACGAAGCGGCCGGGGCCACCGGAGTCAAGGAAGGCGCTGTGGTCGACATGGAGCAAAATGTAGAATGAATCGACGTAATCACCGGCTTTGGTGCTTGCAGGGCTAGGGCAGGATCGAGTCCCAGCTGTCTATTACTCCGCCATGTGTCTCTCAGCGGCGCATCCATGTCTGCATGGGACACCCATGTCTGTGGAGCCAATCGGTCGCGAGCATTCCTTTTTGTCATTTTACGGCCGCGCAAGAGCTTGTCCGGACACAGAATTTGGGTGGACTTGAAGTCACCGCAAAAAACGTCCGATCCAAAGAAGCCGCGGACGTTCGCACATGCAGTGCACGACCACCAGCGTCCTTTCTAGTGCAATGGGATCGGCCGTGGAGCTTTGTCGAGTCCAGTTTCTCGCAATAGCTCTATTCGATACAACTGAGTGGACTCTGTGGAGTGGACTTGCGACGCGGAAGATGTGCTCATCTTGTGTATTGAAACGGCAAAGTCGGAATGCAAAATGCGAGGCACGGGAGCGTGCCACGTCACTGATCAGAACGGCGACCGATCTCGCAAGCGCGTGCGTTATCCCAACGACTACTCTTGTCCCTACGCCCACGTACGAGTTCAACGCTTTCATTGCCGCTTGCATCACGTCAGCGGCGCGACCACGCTGGCGGCGCGCCATTTCATGACGCGGGGCCACCGCGGATTTTGACTGGCTGATTCAAACAATGCGGCACCGCCGCCAGCTGGTTTCTGTGCCAGCCGTCAAGCGTCCAGTTGGTGCAGCATACACTGGTTTGTGGAACTCGTTCATGGATTTCCTGTCGTTGCGATCCAGCATTTTGTGGAACTCTGCTTCATACACTGTACGCAGGAGGTAGCATTCTTGCGCTCCGTCGTCAAGCACTACCAGCTTCCACCACCTTATAAGGAGTCGAAGCAAGTTAGTTACCTGAACATATAGGAGGGATTAAACTTCTTACGATATATATTGAAATCGGATGACATTAGAGACGGTTGAGCAGTGGTGAGTGCTCGTTCTCGGACGAGCTCACATTGTTGGCATGGTACAAAATGTAGTGTTGGACCATAAAGATAATGTCAAAGAAGACACTGGTGAAGCCGAGGCCAAACTTGACCGGGTCACCCGTCACGGCGGTCCAGTCGTGCGTCACCGAGCTCGTCATGATGAGCTGCGCCACCGAGAGAAGCCCACCGGAAAAGTCAAGCAGCACGTTCCAAATCGTCCAGCCGATCGTGAGCTGGCGCTTGTAGTTGAGGTACACCTGCGGAATGTACTTGACGAGCGACACGGCGAGCTTGATGTAGCTGAGCAGGTACAGAAAGTTGAGCAGGCTAAAGAAGTCACTGCTCGGTACGACGATCGTGAGCGCCAAAAAGACAGCCGCACCGACCACGCCGACCGCAACCGCCACCTTGCACGTCGTCGAGAGCACTTGGTTGCCGCGCGTGTAGATGGTCGTTTGGTAATACGTCAGTAGACTCGCACCGACCGCGTGAAGCGCAAAGAAGACGTCGTTGATTTGGACGGCGTTCGGAAGTCCGTTGTGGTAGCGCTTGTACTCGTCTTGGACCACTTCGCTCCAGTAAAAGGCCGCGTTGAAGATCGCGTAGCAGCCAAAGCCCAAAATGTTGTACACGAGAAAGTCGAGCGAGAGACCTTCGACGCTCTGGCGGCGCCAGTTGAGAAACACTTGCGGCCAAAAGCTCACGCTCCAGCACGCAAAGTAGACCCAGCCCACGATCGACGAGAGGCGGTTGTACGGCTGCGGGATGTTGTCGGTCGCGTCGGTCGCAAAGCCGAGCCCGAGGCCCGTGATCGCAATGATCGCGACGCCAACGCCAACGCCATGGCGCTCGATCCACGCAACGATGCTCGGTGCCATGCGGATTGTGCTATGGATGGAGACGGCGGGCGCGCGACCTCGGCGTTGCTTCCTTCGGTATCCTTGCCCGCCTTTCTGCGTCAACCAATCAGCGGCAAGCGACGGTTGAGAAATGAACCAATCACGGCGCGGGCATCGACCAGGTCAGAAACCTGGCAAAGCCGAAGCCGGCGGAAGATCCGTGGAGTTCGAAATTCCCAGCCCCGCGCTCCGTCGCAGGCGGCGGGCCCTTCGTACAACGGCGCGACACGCCCACAAGGCAGTCGTGTAGCGCACAAGACAGCGTTCGAGTAGAAAAGACGAGATAAATGTCGTCGGTCTACGCTCGAATATTGCACCTTGTAGCCGGTTGGAGATTGCATTGGCCAACGCAACTTCAACCGAGGGTCAAGCGTGGCACGATCCGTCAAACGGCAAGGAGGGTTCAACAAGTAGCTGCAGAGCGGAACGACGCGCTTGCCGTGAAAAGAAGCCAACCGAGCACCCCATCAAGTTGAGCTTACGAGTACCCACTGCCCACGACAGAGTCTTGTGGTACCGTGAAGCGCCAAGAACACACGTCGCTAGCTCACGTCGCTAACCTGGTTGGCTTGGTGTTTTGTCAAGGTTGATCCGTAATGGCCGTTGGAGGCCTTCACCGTGAAGTGTTCTCCAACGGGCAGGTCTTTGCCCATCACGAATGCAGCGTTGGGAGGCGACACGAGTGGCAACGGTCGGGTGCTGTCGCGCTGTTGCGGGGCGCTATGTTGTTGACTTTTGACGACAAGCGCATGCGCGACCAGCATAAAACGCACTACGTGGCGCCGCACGCAGACGTAATGGCCCTTGCGACCGCCGTTCTCGACGGCGACCTCAACCGCGTCCGAGGAATTACCGAGGAAATGCGGTCTCTCATCAACACGGGGGACCGCTGGAAGAAGCACGTGCGGCCGCTCATGCTGGCGACGCGGTCGCCGAACCCGATCGCGATGTTCGAGCTGCTCGTGGCGCACGGCGCGCTGCTGTATCCGACCGACCGCGCAGGCCATGACGTGATGCTCTATGCGTGCGCGCACGGTGTGGCCCCCGCCATGATCGACTACCTCGTGCAGCTGGACAAAGGTGGGCTCTGGACCTGGGACGCACGTACGTTTCAAGGCGACGGGCACTTGGCACTTGCTTGTCGCAGCGGCAACTTGGCCTTGGTGCAGCACCTCGACGGTCTAATCCCAGCGGGTACCCAGAGCCATGGCACTGATATGGTCCTGGCCGCTCTCGACGCGAACGATGAGGAATTTGTCTTGCGCTTGCTGGCGTGGTGGACCTTGACGCCGCGCCTGCCCTTGGACGCCGCTGTCGTGCGCACAGCGCTCGCGACCAAGATGTTGCGCGTCACGTCGACCCTCGTCCAGCTCGACCCACTCGGTGCCGGCCAAATCGTCTTTGTCTTTTGCTTTCGGGAGGCGCGCATGGAGCCGACCCTTGCGTGTTGCTGCGCCACGTACAAGCGCCGTGTGACGTGGCAGCACACGCGCCTCGTCTTTGCGCTGGCGCTGCCGACGACCGTTTGCCGCGTGATTGCACGCTACGTGTACCAGTTCAAGCCCATCGAGCACCTCAGAGGCGGTGCCCGACGTCGGCGCGCTCGGTTGTACGGTTCGTGGGTCAACTCCGCGTTTTATTGAGCCGTGCTGCTACGTACGAGCCAGCTTGTTGATGCGTCGAATAAGATTAAGCAAGGTGTACACTGCAGCGATGGAAGGTGTTCTCAACTATTGGACGCTTCTTGGGCTTTAGAGTGGCCACATGCACACAAGACGTCTGCCCCCATCTTGACTGCCTTGCAGTTGATCCTATCCAAGGGTATTTACCACCCTCTCCTGCACTACCTCCTACTATGGGGGACCTACCGAATAATACAATGATGAATACGCGTCGCGGCATACAAACACTCGGATAAAAATAAATAAAATCGTGGTCGCACAGTCTGCCCATATTTCTGAAGACGATCATGGAGGTTGAGCGCATGCTGCTCGACTTTACCGACGCGCCATTGAAGGACCCCCGGTCACCCATGTATCTGTTACAAAAGCCTGGGCAAAACCTCGGGGGGCCTTGGGGTCGGAGGGCCTACCCTAGGGTCCCAAAGAGCTCTGAGGGTGGGGTCCGGGCCTATCCTGACCCTACCCTAGGGTGGCGCATGACCCCCGGGACACTTCCAGAGCATTGTACGCTGCTTTGTTAGAGACAAACGTTGGGTATAATGCTTGCACGAGATATTGCACCCGAACGCCACTTCGTTGTGGCGATAGAAGACGTCTTCCTCTTCGCAATTGAGCATATCCTGGAGCGGTGTGGCACACCGAGGACCATCACTCATGAGTGATGGTTATCTGTTTTATCTGGCATATATCCGGCACATATCCGGTCATAGGGGTCTGGGCTGGGGTCTCGTACCCTAGGGGCAATCTACAAACAGGGATGTATGAGGGGCGGGGGGCTGCCATCATGGCGGGTCTACCCTAGGGTAAGCCTTGACCCCCCTGGGTGACCAGGGGTCCTGCCATTGAGCCCGGACGACCCACGGCGGCGCATCGTCGACGTGCCCAACAAGCCGACGGCGGAGAAGGCGTCGATCCGCGACGAGTTCCTCACCGCAACGGGCAACGTCGGCGACACGATTTGCCGGCTCACGATCGCGTCGTCGTACCCGCTGCAAGCCATTTTCAAGCGGGACATTGCGTACGCGCGGCGCGAGCTCAAGGAATAGCGTCTCACAAACGCTATTGGCGTTGCTGTCGTGGTCTTTCTCAACATGCAGGACCTCCGGTACTGGGTGGCCGCCACGGACCGGCCGGACAACGTGCACGGCATCATGAATGCGTTCTACAAGCTCTGGCTCGAGCTCTTCCGGCACGACGACGCTGCGCTCAGACTGCGCGGCCGCGACGTGCTGCTCGAAGAGCTCACGACGTACGGCAACGAGATTCGCATGTATGGCAACCACACGTGCCATTGGTTCAAGCCAACGACCAAGTAAGGACGCGCTCTATGCAATATAGAATTTCTGGCAATACACTGTAAGCGTCTTGTGTATTCGTGTTGACGTTTGCGGCCTATTAAAGGCCATCCGGCGCGGGACGGTCAACGAGACCATGCTTGCCGCAGAGTCCACCAGGCGCAGAATTCTCTCAGTCCCTAGTTGCCATTTCCCAGGAAGAAGGCAAGCAACTTGTACCACGGGTATCTGTCGTCTGCTGCAGTTGGGCAATGAAAGCAAGATAGCCAAGCACGACCTCCATGGAGTAGTCGTTGCTGGCTACACTACTGGTATTAACACAGCTACGGAATGGCTGGACCGCGTCGGCAAGGGTCCTTCATGATGCATTCACCACGTCGTCCGTCCTCTCGGGGCGCCGAATGCATGGCCCCCTGGCTTGGTCAGCGAAGTCTCGAGGCTGAATGGACCCTCGGTGGCGGGAAAGGAATCCATCCATTATTAAAAATAGTATACAAACACGTAAGTTATTTTTTTAAATGGTGCAATTGCATCCACATTTTCTGTTGACCAAGATGAGTGCCAAGGCCGCTACGACGACGACGACGACGACGACGACGCCGGCGCCTGCCGCGGTGGCCGCGCCGGCCGACGACATGTTCACCTTTAACTTCGAGAGCAACGACGAGGAAGATGAAGAAGACGAGGAAGAGGACGAAGAGGACGAAGACGAAGCGGCCGAGCCGTCGGCCAAGCGTGCGCGCAAGGACGCGGATAAGCCTGTGCGCCAGGTGACCGTGCCCCGCGAACCGACGCTCAAGAAGCTCGATGCGATCACGGCCGCGCTCATGAAGGCGACGGACAACGACGACGATGGTGGTTTTTCCATGTTCAACACGTCGTCGTCGTACCCGATGCAGATGGTGCTCAAGAAGGAGATGGCGGTCGCGCGCAAGATGCTCAAGGAAGGCAAGCACTCGCAGGCGCTTTGCGTCCTCATTGCCATCTTTATGAACATGGAGCGCTACGACTACTGGTTCTCCGACTCGGACGACAGCCGCATGGTCGAGACGACGTTCACGTCCTTCTACAAGCTCGTGCAAGACGCGCTCAAGAAGGACGACGCGACTCTACGCCTCACGGGCCGCGACGTGCTCATCGAGGAGATGGCCAAGCTCGGGCGCGCGGCCAAGGAGTCGTTCGACTACGAGTTCAAGTGGTTCGACTAACTTTTTTCATCGTCTAATTAAGGTATCTAATCAAAGACTGTGCGTCAATATCGGGTTTAGTACCTAGCACCTTGCAGACAACTTGTACAGTCCGCAGCATGCAGGATAGCAAGCCACGTCATGACGACCATAATGTGCGGGAGTTGCCATTTCTCACGTCCGCACGAATTCTTCACACAGTTTTTCACAAGGTGGTTTATCATCGACCGCCAGTAAATCAGGCGGAATAACGTGTGTTTTAAAATCCCACGTCATGCCACACGTGAAGAATACGTTGGATGGGGCCCACCCTGTTGTGAGATGGACGCCGCATATAAAATGCAAGATAGCATAGGGCCCCATACTAGAGGGTCCGTGAAATCGGCGAAAGATTACTTGACGCAGAAGCCAAGACGATGGACTTCGGAAGCGCCCGACGTGGCGGCCGCGACGCGCTCCCCGAGGACTTTGTGCGCAAGCCATGGCAGTCCTTCTCGACCATGAAGCGCTTCCTCAGCGAGGCCGTCCGCCTCGAGAATGCGAGCTGGCGCATCTGGTTCATGCAGCAGCGGGCCAAGCAGGCTATGGTCGTCACGAAGAAGAAGGGCCGGCTCTCGATCGAGGCGCATGGCGACGAGATCGAGGCCGATGCACACGACCGAACGTGCGTCTACTGCGAGCTCGCGCCTGCTAGCCTGACGTGCAACGGCTGCTGCCATGACCCGTACTGCGTGAGTTGTTTCAAGCTCATTCATATGCGCGGTCATCTCGCTTCGCATACGGCCGTGTCGCTCCAAAAGCTCGATGCCAAGGTACAGGGTCCGAATTTGAGTGAAAGCATCACGCAGAAGATAGGTACCGACGCCTGTGGTCACGCCAACGACGCACCGCGCGCCGGCGCAAGCGAGCCCGCCCAAGGTTACCGTCGCCGCCAAGCCCATCAAGTCGTGGGAAGAGAAGATGGACGTGCTCTTCCAGAAGCTCATGGTCACGAGCATGCACCACGACGGCGACATTAGGTATCAACTCTGACAATCGTCCGAGCAAACTGAAGACTGTGTCCTGTAGTGTTCACAACATTGACAACAGTCCGCTCAACCCGACGTGGAGCCCAGAGAAGGCCAAGACCTGCGGCGGCTGCCAGGGCCCGCACATGACGGTTGCATGTCCGTCGCTGGCCCCGCCCATTGTCGAGAGCATCGCGCCGACAACGTCCAAGAAGCCAATCGTATGTGGCAACTGCCGCGGCGACCACAAGACGCTCGACTGTCACAGCTTGGCACCGCCAACGCCGCCCAAAGGCGGGGCTATCTGCGGCAACTGCCGCGGCGACCACCTCTCGATGGCATGTCCTCTGCTTGCTGTTGGCGCGCCGCCTGCGAAACCAATAGTGTGTGGCAACTGCCGCGGCGACCACAAGACAATCGACTGCCATGGCTTGGCACCAACGCCGCTTAAAGCTGTTGTTTGTGGCAACTGCCGCGGCGACCACATCTCGATCGCGTGTCCGCTGCTGGCACCGCCGCCCAAGAAGGCGCTTGTGTGTGGCGGCTGCGGCGGGGAGCACATGACGATGCTCTGCCCGAAGCTAGCGTCTTCAAGTGACGCGCCGCTCTTCCGGCGCAAATCGAGCAAAAGTATTGTCTGCGGCAACTGCCGTGGCGACCACATGACCATTACGTGTCCGCAGCTGCAAGAGGAGTCGCCCAAGCACGTCGTCGACTCGATCGTGCGCAAGTGCTTCACGTCGTACCACAACGCCAACACGAGCAACAGCACGCACGCGTACTTGGGCGACGAAGTGAGCGTCCACGGGGCGTTTGTGCTGCGCCCGCCACCGGCGACCCGGTCCAACTCGGCGACCTTTGCACCGATTCACGAAATCCCCGTCGAAGTCGAGACGTCGCCCGTGCTGCCGGCGCTGTCGCCGCTGCGGCGGTTGCGGACACCGGACGTGTGGATCCTCTCGAGTCTCTGGAACGACATGTCGGCGTCGTTTCTGCAAGCGCGGGGCCATATGGGCGCTGGCTGCGACGTCAACTGCCTCGATGAACGCCGTGGCTGGGTCTATCTCAAGCCCCCGCACTGCACCAAGGTACCCCATTTTTGTCTGGAGTCTGGATTCTGAGTTTCATTGTCTGATTTGACGATGGATACATCTAGTGGCGTCGGCGCTTTGTGGTGCTCTTCCGCAACCAGCTGACGGAATTCCTGGATGAGCGCGATGTGCAGCCGGTGGGCTTTACCAATTTGCACGAAGCGTCGATCGTCGACACGTCGGTGCATGACGAGCACCAACTGACGGTCTCGGTCGCGTCATCGGCTCTGCGTGACGACGGCGTCACGACGCTTCAGTGGTGCTTTGACACGCTGTTGGCGTTCAACGAGGTACCACTTGTCTCATCTAGTCGTTTTTCGATATGTGTGTCTAGTGGAAAGCAGCGCTTGTGCGCGCCAGTCGGCTCGAGATCCGGGACCTCTTTGGTGACGACGACATGGAGCTCGGCAAAGGGCGGTTTGCGATGGTCAAGCGCGCCGAGCGCAAACACCTTGCGCGCTGCAGCCACGAATGTGCGATCAAGGTCATCGACAAGGCTGCGTTTTGGTAGATCTGCGTTTAGGGTTGTCGTTGCGACTGGCTTTGTCTAGGGACCTCGTGCAGGAAGGTGTCGAGCGCAACGACACGCTGTTTCGTGAAGTGCTCACGCAGAGTGTGCTCACGCTGCGGGGCCATGGCGTGCCGCACCACGGCTACGTCGTGCGGCTCCTCTCGCTCTTTGAGACGCACGACCATTTGGTATGCATTTACATGACGAATGTGCTCTCGACATGAGAACTATGCATTAGGTGATGGAGATGGAGCTCATGGCCGGCGGGGACATATATGACCACATTGTGACCCACGGACCGCTGTCAGAACCCCAGGCCGCGCTCGTCATGACGCACCTCGTCCAGAGCATTCAATTTTGCCTGGAAAATGGCATTGCCCATCGTGACGTCAAGATCTCCAACTTGGCACTCGATGTGCAGACGACCATAGGGTCCACCGACCGGTACGAGTATTTTCTTTTTTTGAAAGATTACTCATTTATACCGATATACTAGACCGTGTGTGCTCAAGCTGGCCGACTTTGGCATGGGTGCGTTCCTCGAGTCCAACGGCATGCTTCTTGGACGGTACGTCATCGATTGTATGGACATATTGTCTCTATAGGTTTGTTATACATGGTACTAGGTGTGGCACGCCGGGCTATGTAGCCCCCGAGATCCTCACAGCCGGCGTCCAAGAGCCGTACCCGCCCCACGTCGATATGTTTTCGGTAACATCGTTTTGTGATTGAGATTCACATTTTTGAGAAAGAGTCCTAGGCGGGCGTCGTGCTGTACACGCTCCTTTGTGGCTACGAGCCGTTCTATGCGATCAACGACAAGGAGCTCATTTTACTCAACAAGGCGGTCACGTACTTCTTTCATCCGGAGGAGTGGTCGCACATATCCGACGACGCCAAGGACCTCGTACGTTCTTGTGCTCGTATACATCGTCGGACAATCCCTTAGATTGCTCGCATGCTGGCCAAGAACCCGGCCGAGAGAATACGCCCGCACGAAGCCCTCGCGCACCCGTTCCTGCGACACGTGGCGTGTGTGCCCGAGCACCCCCGCACCTCGACCTGTGCCAAGCTCTTCTAAGACCCTTTGACATCAATGTCTCTATTGGTGTTGTTACTGTGTACAAGACTAGTTTTAGTGTACGTCGAGGACGCCAAACTTGGTACAGTCGTCGCCGTCCCACGCACAAGCCGCCGAGAAGCAGCCCAGAGTACACACGTTGTCGCCAACATTCAGAGCCGAGCACGTCTCTGCGCACGCCGGTCGACAGCCTTCGACATGCTGGGTTGCACAGAATGGCGTCGCGTCCAGCAAGATTTGCCGCGTGGCGATCCGCGC